TCATAATACACAAAAGAGAAATTCGTATAATTTTAAAAATCAAATACATACATATGTATATGAATACTAGTAACTGAAGTTTATAGTATATCTTATATTTTATGTTCTAATGACAGTGCAATATTTTTCTCTTAAAAATGAAATTGTTAGTACATGTTGCTAAACAATAAACAGTTATTCATGTTTTATACTTATTTAAATTTTATAACAAGTTCATAAATATCACTCTGCTCAAATTTATGAAATGCTGTTGTAGTTATTACTTATATATATATATAAACATTGTTACTTAATGTAAGATGAAATGTTCCAAATTTATTATAGCTATGATTGTAGTAGGGCAACTAATAGATAAATCTATGATACTACACAATGTTAATCAAACTTAAAATATTTCCATTGATATCTTTGTCTTCGCTGTTCAGAAAGACTAGTGGAAAATTCTCTATAGTTCAGCATTTGTTACTTTACACCTTTTAAATATATGCTCACTTAATAATAGTTATGAACAATAAAATACAGTTTGAATAATCTTTGCAAACTTTTGTATTATATTACAAAATATGAAGCATTTGGAAATATTTACAAGGCTATCAACATTTGTAAAAGTCGAACTATTAGCAGATCAAATATTAATACTTCTGTATTGTATACAATATTAATGAAATACATGCAAGATGGAAATCTTCTATTTTAAATTATACTACATAATTACAAAGGATTCTAAATCTTTTATAACATATGAATAATATAGAAATAAGTAGCATACAAATGTATATTCAATAAAGAAAAATGTTGATTATAAAGTTATGTTATATTCATTGGTAGATTATAGATGTTATACATTTGTGGTTTACTAAAATTGATTTGTATCTAACGCCTAATTTTTTTAATCGTTTCATAGAAGTATAAAATTGCATATATATTTGCAGTCCATATTTATTACTTTATTAGTTTCATATCCTATTTTTTTGTACGTTTTTAACGTAGTAATGGGTACGAGCGGATTTATGATGCGTTCAAATAAGTACCGTAAGTCTAGTAATATAATTCATTCATCTCCTTAATGTTGGTATCACTTTTGAATAATGTTTATACTTGATTCGAACGCGTCTATTATTGAAACGAGTAAGCAATAATTAATTACCTGGTACTGTTGTGAAACATAATAGACAAATGTGCTCGTATAATAAAGGAGAAATGATTATTCCAAGAAAAGAAATGGTTTTAATAAATATGTTAATTTGATAAAATTTGAATCACTAGTGTAATAATTTGGTTAGATGATTATTTTGTAAATATAATATACATGAAGATTCTGATCAGTTATATATTAAAAAAGTATTGGAGAGGATACTATTTTTATAGTTAATGAAAATGAATACAGAAAACGATTATAATGTTGCTGTCAGATATAGAACTGTTCGTAAGCATTTAGATAGCTTAGGATATAAACATTCTATAACTTTGGATGCACTACCTTTGATAGAAAAACTGCTAGCCGATCTTCTTCAGACAACAGAAAGTTTAAAGCATTTTAAGAGTATTGCTCAAGAAAATATTGAGGTTTGTATAACATTAGATTGACAAGTGGTTTGGTATATTATCCAAACATATATTTTTGTATCACCCTTTATGTAAAACAATTAATGTAAATCTAGGCACATTCTCAATTGCAATCAGCAATAGATCCTTACAAATGTGACAATGCAAGACTGGTAGAAGAATGCAACCAGCTTCACTCAGATTTCTTAAAAGCAAAGGAAAGTCATCAGAAGCAAATCAAGGATCTTAAGAAAGAGATACATAAATTGGAACATGAATGTAATGATCTCCAATTGGCATCTTCTCGTAATTTACAAAAAATTAAGGAATTAGAGACTGAATCATCCAGAAAGTCTAAAAAAATTTTGGAGCTTCAAGGGAAATGTTTGAAGCCAACAATCAGTAATGTTGGATTAGGTATTTTAATATTTATTTTCATATCGTAGTTGTAATGGTAAATGAAATATAATCACTTATCCAGTCCAACATTAGCATGTTAATGACAAATATTGGGTTAATGCAAAAATTTTGGTTTTTTGTATGTGGGTAACAAAAAAATTGTTTTCTTCTAAACAAATAACATCTGTTTTCAAAGTATTATGATATGTATAAAGAGTTGAGAACTTTTCTTTTTACTTCTTATAAAAAAAATGTCAAAACTTTCACATCAACCCAATACATAAACTTAATTGAAAACTGTTTATTTCTTTTCATGATTGTTGAATTCTTAATTAGTGACACTTAATTTTACTGTCCTTTCAGCTTCTAAAAAGCGTCCTTGTTATCCTCTTCGAAGAGCAGTTTTAGAAAGTGACCCGCTACCAAAAACAGGATCTAAAAGTCAGCCTTTGCCGAATTTGAGTACAGTGGAACCAAAAGTTGTCGATTTGTTAAGCATGGCGGATCACAAAATGAACTGTTTGTCTCATGAGGTAACAAAACTAAAGGAAGAACTTTTATTACAAACTGACAATGTGCAAACATTGGAAAGTCAGGTATATTAATGATATCTATATTAATGTGACCTTGAGAAATTCCTGTCCCATTTATGGAAATACTTAATGTTTATTGCATTGCATGGGTTTGCATGTAATTAGTACAGAGTGGTTATATATGTATATACATACTTTTATATTCTTATAATAAAAAGTTTTCATCATATGTATGTTATGCAATTATGTTTGCAGTTAACTGCTAAAGAAAAAGAAATCATACGACTGAAAAAGTTGTTGGAAGGTGGTAGACCATATTCTGCAGTTTCAAAAGATTGTCCTTGTAAAAAAGTAGAAAATAGTTTTATGCAGTCCACTGATAATGTAGATCTTCACGAGTTAGAAATTCTTCAACAAGAAAAGTTTGAGTTAGAACAACAATTAAAAGGTAAAAAGGAAATTATTATAGAGCAGAGTGTACTATTGACATGTATTTATTATTTATAGAAGCTTTAAATAAACAGCACGATGCCATGACTCAAGCACTTAAGCTTGCTGATCGAAATGAAGAATTGGAAAAGGAATTAAGGGATATAGATCATATAGCTTTAGCTGTGGAGGCTGACTGTAATTCTGTAGTTAAAGAAAATAATGAAAGGGTCTCTAAGCTTCAAGTAATTTCGCGATATTTGTAAAATTAGATTATTACTGAAATTGTACTGAAGTATTATCAATTTTTCATTTAATTTATTTTCACTTAGCAAAAGTTAGAAGATGTAATGACTCAAGTGCACAATTTAGAAGGAGAACTGACAGTGGAGCATAGAGAAGTGCAAGAATTGAGAGCAGATCTTGAAGCTTGTAGATTAGAGAAACGTAATATTCAACGCAATTTGGAATCCGCGTTAGACGAGAAAAAACATATGATAGATAGAATAAATGAGCTAACAGTGATTGGTATGAGATTTTTATTTACACTTTATAATTAACAAATCAATATTATTGCATTTCATGAATACTTTATAAATAATTTTATAGAAAAGAATTTAAACGATGAGATAGAAAGATTAGCCAGAGAAAATGAGAAACAACGACAAGATATCATTCAGTTACAGTATAGCAATAAACTATTAAAGGAACAAATGCATATAAAAGAAATGTTACAAGCTGATGATGGAGGTGGTTCGAAAGAGGCGAAAGAGAAAGGAACGAAGAATGATTTCAATAGAGGTAAGACATTGAATAAATCATGAATTTTAGAATAATGTAAAAATATTTTATTTTTTGTGATAGGTCAGAATGGAATAGACATTCAAGATATATATAGGAGAGATGTTTATAATATAAATCGTGCTGAATATGAAAATATACGTAAACAATTGGATGAGAAAGAATCTCGATTAAGTAATGTATGTATTTTAACATGAGCTATTTTCTGTATATACTTATTAGATGTAAAATACTTCAAATGTTATCTGAAAATTTCTATAGTTGGAACAAGGGGTTGAAAAGTTGAAAAGGGAAAGAGACTTTTACAAGAATGAATACAATAATATGAAAGAGTATCATAACAGAACAATTGAAAAAGATCATGTAAGACATATGATTGTAATTGTTAATTGTATTTCTTGACACTTTTAAATATCTTTTATAAATATACATTTATTTAAAAAAAAAATAGGATGACCTGTGGTCACGAATTCGAGAATTAAAATGTCAGTTAAGTGAGAAGGAAAGTGCGCTGGATGAATTGCAACGGGAAAAAAATGAACTGTTTCGGGAAAAAACGAATTTAGAAACACGATTACAAAGTTATAAAACTGAGCATAAACACCCTCATCGACCATGCAATATCTGCAAGCGTGGTACTTCATGCAATTGTTCTCCTCCTACTTTCAAAGATACCAACAAAGCGAAGGTAAAATTGTGTAAATATTTTCATGTAGCTAGATTTTATCTATTTTATCATTTCTGTAGAGTATTATTGAACGTTTGGAACACGAACGGGATATGGCCCGAGGAGATATTGAACGACTAATAGAAGAACGTGATGCATTGCGTGAAAGACTCAAGGTAAATAGATTCTTTCCATAACAAATTAAGATATAACTTTTATACATTATATATTAAGCATTATTTTTGTAATTAGTTGGCAGCAGAAGCACATACATCTGAACAACGTCGATTGCGAGAGAATTTGACTGAGGTAGAAACTCGTTTGAAACAAATAGAGAAAGAACGACAAGAGCTTCTGTTAACACAAGGAGCACGGCGAGCAACAATAAATGGATTAGAAGACCAATTAGAAGACGTACGAGAAGAGTTAAAGCGAACTAAGCAAGAATTAGCCAGTCAGCGTACTCAGTATTTTCAACTTAGGTATTTTTTTATATCTTATAACACCTAATAATATCAATTAATGTTTATAAATCTATTATTTACTTATGAGGAGAGTAAATAATTACGTTGGTTAGTATATGCTATAATTGCAATATGTAATTTAATTTATATGCATCATATATATATATGTGTTGAATTCACTGTGTTGTGAAGTAACATAAACTAATACACGCTTACAGAGCACTACAAGATCAGACTGATCAGGCACTGGGTGACACTCAGAATCAATTAACACAATCAAAGTCGGAATTGAATAAGGCATTGGATCGCAATAGAACAATGGAGCGGCAGCAACAGCAGCTTGAAGATCAGGTGAAGGATTTACAACAAGAAATTAACAATTTAAAAATAAATATGACACACTTAGATCACGAAAAGGATCAGTTGTTGGTGAGTAAATTAAAATTTAACTAATATGGTAATACTTACAGTGAATCTAAAATCAGAAAATCCAATAATTTTTGGCAGATGGTATTGGACGAGAAAACGGAAAGAATAGCTGCCTTAGAGAGGGAAATGATGTTGAAAGATCAGCAGGTACTAGGAAGCGATCAACAGATCCGAGAATTACAGCATAAAAACGAGTAAGTACTTTTTATCCGTTTGTTAAAAATAAATTTCTTACGGTTCAGAATGTGAGTATAAATTACATATATTTACAAAATCATTCTTCTATACTAAATAGAATTTCATAATATCTGTGGCTCGAGTACGCTTAAATATTTAAATTATTTAAATTGTAATTGAAAAGGAAGTAATTAGTATAGCAGAACTTGAAATGTCTGAATTCAGATCTATATTAAAATAAATAGGAATATTCTTATGACGCTTACACGAGAATATTAAAAGTTTTTTACGCGGAGTATTTGTACATTGCTATTTACATGTTTCGCAAGCAGATGCGCAGTTTGGATTTTATATCACCGGCCCACGTGCGAGCGCATACAGTCTTCTTTCACTTAGAAATTAACTGACTTCACTTTATCATTGAGAAACTTTGCTAAACTGACTGCAGGTGGTTGACAGCCACCCGGGGAAAGGAGATTGTTACTTTCTAGTTCAGACACTTCTGAATTCTCTGTAATCCTTTTGTAACCGGGTCTACATTCGCATCTAGCTCTGGGTTCGGGCTCTTCATTCTTCCACAAAGTTGGTTTTGGCATCCTTCTCGCGACCAACCATTCTCCTGCCGTGCACGGACCCTGTGTGTACAACTTGTAACAAGTTTTATTCATTATCACCATCCCTGGTGTAGATTCGCAGCTATTAGTGTTGTCTTCTGAACACTTTTCAGAGTCTCTGAGTGCATTAGTGCACCCACATACTCCGTTGTAACTAATTCCATCGATGGACGGACGCGCATTGTAATCGTACAAAACGATTTGCCCACTTGGGCACGGACCTTTTGTTCCCACTTTATAACACGTTTTCTCTTCATGAAAATACAGTCGTCCTCGTTTACAGGGCACTTGCACACAAGTTGTCGAATTTATTAACATCTGACCATATTCGCAAGGTCCTCTTGTATAAAGTCTATAGCAGAATCCATCCTCATAGAGCACGTGATCTGGTTTACACACACATTGAGCTTGAACAGTTTCTTCATCGTTCATTGGACTTGTTATAACAAAGTGATGTCCTTTTAGACACGGACCGATACCACCTATCAATATATTCATAAATTATTTAAGCCTCGAATCAGATAAGCAGAATGAATTTTCACTATAGTTTGTTAGCATCTTACCTAACTGGTAGCACATTCCAGTTGATTTATGATAATGAGGTAGTTCATGGTTGCAGCCACATATACCGCCTGGCAAAAATAATTCTCCAGGTTCAGTGCATGGACCTTTAGTGTAATGCTCGTGGCAGCCTCCTATGCTTCCTGGCCAATGATATCTTCCAAGTTCACCCGTCGCTGAACAGGAACACACTGTTAGTCCATCTTCATCCGTAGTGAGTAATTCACCTTTTGGGCATGGTCCTCTGGTGAATTTTGGGTAACACTTGTTGTCCCTAGGCCAATACACTTCTCCTCTTTCTGGACATGGTTCTGGATCACGGCAGACTCCCCATCTTTATTAAAAGTAGCAAATTATTTCTTAATGATTCTTTGAAACATGTTTAGGTCTTAAATCTCCCTAAAGTCCTTTTATTTGTTTAAAATACGAAATCCGTCTCTTTCAAGCATCTTTGTATGCAGCAAATGCATACAAACTTTGATTAGAGACATTGAGTGCTATATTACCTAGATTTTCCAGTAGTCTCTGGCACTGGCGCAAAGAACTGTCCCTTTGGACAGGACGCTCTTGTGTAAATTGAATGACAGAGCGCATCTCTAGGAGACTGTGCAGTCCCAGGAGGGCATCTGCACTCTGCTACAGTTCCACCTCCACCCGCAGCTGGTCCCAACTCCATTGTCTCTGGACATGGTGGTCCAATCTACATTGAAAGAAATTCATTAGGAGTTACGGAGTTCATTGGAACCGTGAGAAAACGTTGAAGAGAAAAGAATTGAAGTTTCTTCTAAATTGGATCTATTAAGAGAGCACGATTGGCCTTTAGAAAGAGAAATGCAGCACATGCCTGGAATATTTTGTAACACTTTCCATCCGGCGGCCAAAATAACAATTGCCAGCCACGTGGTTGGGCGGCGCAAGGATTGCTCGAGGGATCTGCCCATGGCGGAGGCATGATCGCCGATTGAACGTTTATCGATGCGAACCAAACGGACAGCAGCAGACTCCCCAAAGCTCTGAAAAACATTTCCATTATTTAATTAGCTGAAGCTTACGGTTGAACAGCAACTGATAATTTACAGGCATAAGCAGATTTTGAGCTTGGCATTCTTCGATAAAATTTTATGATGTACCGAGTACAAAGGAAGAAATGTTTTAGGGGAAGCCCGATGTGTTTAGATAATTTGATCAAACGTAAGTACAGGAAAGCGACAATCGCGATAGAGAATATTCTAACACGTGTACACGCTCGTCAAGACCGAGGGAGCGGCAGGGAAGAGCAAGATAGAAACGAAATGACCATACTTTCACTGTTTCACTATGGCAATGGCATTGTCCCTGGTAGCAGGGCCCGGGATGACGACACGCATGTAAAATAAGAATACCATCCCGCGCGACCGCTTCACGACTTGCAAACTGAAAGCAAAAACACTTTCCTCCTTTCTTCTCTCTTCGTTCGGCCCGGTCATTCTAAATCATCGGCGATGTAAAAGCGACGTTGTACAATTTAATGGATCAAGAAGAGATATCACATCTTCCGATTGCGTTTCTTCTGTGCACCGTCTCTGAACGCTTATACAGTTCTTTTTCTTCGTTTATTTCAGATAAAGGTTCATTTCATTCCACGACACGAAGATGAAAGTGTCCGAACGAAAATGAAATCCTCCGTGCACAGAATCTAGAGCATCCTTAGAAGACTTTTCTGTCGGAAACTTTTTACAAAATCGTAATTGAAGTTTCAATATTTCATCTGACAAGTCTAAAAAAAATTTATGGAAGTTTGATCATCGTTTCTTTCGGTAATTTTCGGTAATCATCTAGGATTAACCCCTTCAGATCCGGCGCACATGATAATGTACAATGTTTCACTATTTCAATATCTGACAAAATATTAAAATTATACCGGGCAATCATATGAGTTGCTTATTTTGAAAGTGACTTAAGTCCATCTGAAAAATTTGCTTTCAAATAAACAAACAGTACAGAATTGTAAGCATTATAACCAGTGACATAATTGGTTTTTTTGAAAAATGGACTTAAACCACTCTCAAAATCAACAGCTCATATATACCCCTTTGCTTTGAGTCTATTTCTATGAGAAATGTAGTACACTACCGCTATATTTTATTCGAAGTAATGTTACTGATGGTGCATTAAATAACGGCCAATTGTTGTTAGATGTGCGAACTAAATTTTCTACAAACATCAGGTCTGAGGGGGTTAAAGCTGTGTACAGCGGTCAACGACGTTTGCCAAGGAGACTGCACATGTCCCCACTTCCACAGTCAAGGAAGCGATTACAGGATGCAAGGAACCTTGGCATCTAAATTCGACCAACAGCTGGCCCGACAAACTTTCTTCCAGGACTTTCCACTTGCAGTGGTGAAACGAGTTCCATGGGTGTCCTTGGTGTCGTTTTATTAATTACATTTTCTCGTTAGTTGCTCCAGTTACGGGCAGACCTGCTCCGCGGTTCGGGTGGTCTATGCCCGGCCAACGGGTCCGTTTAAATGTCCATTAGCAATAGCATCGATCGATTTGTTTTTCTTCATCTCGCTTCCCCTAATGCGAAACAAACTATCCCGCGCGGTTTCGCTTCGAACGAGATGATTGCCGAGAGGTCGCGTGTCGTCGGAGGATTACCGCGAATTGCGGAACGTCGCGCTTCCCTTTCCGCTTCTAATTATCGCGTACTCAGACTGGTGCGACCGGTTCATGCGAATCAAAAGTGAGAGTGATCGCGATAAACTCGGAGAAAGAGGATAATATAATAATTCAATTAAAAATACAAATTGAAATTAAAACATTAGAAACTGAAACTAAAATTACAGAATTTTTTTGAAAATTCAAAAATTTCAATCTAGAATTAGAAACTAGTAATAATATTTAGTTTATCACCGCGTGTCTATATTCATCGTCGCTCTTCCGAGAACATTCTGTAAACGCTTTCATGAGTTATGTATTATTCTGTTCAAAAGGTGGAAGAAATGATTCGGAAATGGTATTGTAATCTTTTCCTGATAGATTGAGTAAGAAGTATTGAATAATTCATTGGAAAATCTCATTGAATACGTAATGTAGATCGGCGGTTACGATAAGGCGATTTGATTCACGACCGCCGTCGATAATAAGGGAGCTGCTCGCACGTGATTACAACAGGGACTCGTTTCCCGGGTAATTGCTTTATTGTGGCTACGAGAAGTAAAAGTAGACCTTTGTTCGGACCTGGAATTCATAGGAGCTTACGATCCTCGTTATCGTCTTCCTTAACGTGGGTGCCGTCTTAACGCTTAACCGACCCGCTTTTTCAAAGCGAATTATTTTTTCTTTATTTGGAGATTCCTCTAATTGGGATATAGTGATTTATATGTAAACAATATTTCATCGGCCTTGACACTAAAGTTGGCAGCTCAAAATGACCTACACCTGGTTTCTTCTTTTACAATCATTGAAAAGATACCAGCGTTTCTCAAAGGAATTACTAAATGACCTGATTTGCTAATGTACGAACAAAACTATAAATCCGTGGAAATCTCAATAAACAGTAATATCCCCAGAAGTTAATCAAGACGAAGCATTGATGTTCATTAATATGTTGCCGGCTGGTTAAGTGGTAATTGATCGGTCGTTGCGCAGTCATTTAATTATTGGTCGCTCGGTCAGTTGGGATAGCAATTGAGTTAACACTTTTACGTTTTAATCCCGTACTATATGATTCTCTTCCTCATCAAGGTCACGAAAGTTACTTCATTTTGTACGAATTCCCAGTGAAGAAGTAATTATACAATCATCGTAGGAGTGAATTTGGTGCAAGGGTTACAACTTCGCAATTTTGTTCATCGGTCCACTATTTTTGAAACTTTTAGCCGTAAACAATTGATTGATTGAATTCGTGGTCATGACGACAGGGTTTGCCATGATGATGGCAGTATCCGGTGCAAAATTCTTCGTGTGCGTACAATGCGGTCCCCGTATGAATGACGAGCGTACAGAAATCATTGGCGTGAATTTTTCTGACGAGAATCATGGATCCCGTGAACGTTTGCTCGCATTGCTGTTCACGTCATAGCGACGATAGACGATACAGGTACGATCCTTTTTCTTGAAGTAATTAATTTTGAAGGAATTCATTAATTATTTGCATAGAAGGATCGACTCACAAGGAATAAGGATTATACGAGTATACAAGAGTATAGATTGTGGCAAACTACGAAGTTTAATAGATTTTGGTAGAGGTTCTAGGTTACTTGTCAGTTGAATTGAAAAATTGAACAATTAAAAACGGTCGGATCGGTGATGAATTTGAATACGTTGAAATTTACAGGTTCTTTTTATGAATTAGCTATTTTACTATATTTTAATATTTTCCTGTGAAACAACGTGTCAACCCTTTGCAGTCGAAAGTTCTTCACTCGAAATTCAGTAGAAGTATTCAAGATTCTTCGATATTTTGTTATGTGCGCAATATTTTTGGAAATTAATCAAGAAACCACACGTAAATTAAGGAACAAAGTTAGTTTATTTCAATATTTCGCACATTAATGCATTAAGTGAAGCTTGATATTAAATATCAAAATTCTGTTATTTAACTGCATCAAATTCTATAGTCACCTCTCAAGTGCAAGGGGTTAAACCTTCGCGGACGAAAATTTGTTGAACTTCTAAAAGTCGTCCCACGGAAACCTGGAATTATGCATCGAGATATTAAATATTATAAAACAATGAGCCACATTTCGAACCCCGTTATTTGAATAATTGAATTATTCAGTTGCAGCTTTCTATTTCGTAGATATCAGAGTTTGAAGTCGCCATTATTACGGCATTCGACCGCAAACAGTTCATTCAAATTTGGAACTCTAGTGTAACACTAGATTCACGGAACCTGTCAATTTGACGAATTTCAATTTTTATAAATATTATTTGGTCAAGGTTTACAGCAATTTTGATCAACATCCTAATCAACTATTGTGGAAGCTGTAATTCCCGAGATCTTTATGAATGAACCCCCTATTGTTCCAGGAACAATAGAATAAAGTGTTCTACAAATGTCCGCAAATCTAGCTAAAGTTTAATTAATGTTTCGGATTATATTCGTCAAGGTGCGAAACGAGTTGCTGGGTGTCTGTCTTCGAGTTAATTCGAGTGTTGCGTCCTCGACGATCCTCTCCTCCCCCGGCGTGAACTACTTTCCATGATGCGTTCACCATTTCACGTTTAGACTCCCTCTCTCAGTTTTTACGAGCGAAAATGTTGCGCAACGCGGGCCGCGTAATACGCGATAAAAATCGTCGGCGTTATGTCATTAGCGGAGCCTCTTTATTGTGGAGCACAGGCGTTTTTTCTTCAAATAGTTCGAACTCGCTGTTTTCGAATTCGAACTGAACCAACCCCCTGCGGCGTTCCTCGGTTCGCCAGTACGCTTGAAACGTTTTCTATCAAATTCAACGATATTCTTGAACAAAATTGGAATGCAATTAAACAGTGAAACATTGAACAAATGAGACATTCATTCGCTAAAGTGATTAACCCCGGAAAATGAAAAGTAGACAAATTTGTTGGAGTCGAAGGAACCAATTAAATAGTTTGCCACCAACATTTGAAAACATTTGAACAATTTCACTCGCAAATGACTCGGATCTAATGAGATTTTCGTAAATCGGTTTATCAATCTGTAACTACTAGATAGCGTATCTTGATATTTTCATTTCACCTTCACGTTTCTTAATTCTTAAAAACTTCATTAGGAGAATAGAATTTCGATAAGAAAAGACATTCCCTAGTAATTATAAGAAACACTGCACCTTGAATATTTTATATATCTTCTCGTACCGTGTGCATTTTGTGCTAATTAGGTGCGATCTAATCTAACTATCAATGTCCTTCCGACGTTGAAGCAAGAGCAAAGTTTTAATAAACCAGTTTCAATAGCGTAATCCAATCAATTTCGATCGTCCATTGCCACAGATCATCGGTGAACACCGGATGCTCTATTAGACTCGTTTCAAATGGAAGACGTTGCGCAACGAGACTCGGCGACCGAACGAAACAACGAATAATGAAATCGATCTTCAATCACGACCAAGGATCCGTCGTTAAAGATCACGTCGTGGCATTTGCGTCGGTGAAACTGGCAACCTTTTCGAGTCCTGTAGCCATTGTAATTGTGCAATCGACATTTCTGCTTATAAACGAAAGGAGTACTCTCTGTTGACGCCGATGATTCGAAACGTCCAGTGTATTATTCCGAGAAAGCGGCGCTCGAATTCCTTCAGGGGCTTTTTACGATGCATTCGGACGCTTTAATCGCGTCGTTACATTTCCTTTTCGTCGATGCGTTACTCTCGATTCGATATTCCCCGCATAGATCCGTTTTCGATATGTCTTCCATTAAAACGAATTGCTTGCCATTAAACGGGGCGATCGGCTAACGCGTCTGACCATCGCTCGTCGATTCCACTTACTCGAATTGCACTTGCGAGAGGATTAGTCGCATTCTCTGCAACTTGCACGTTTCCAATACATTATTACAATTACTCGTAATTCCTTATTTTAAGGAGAATTTTCTGAAATATCAGTTTCAATCATTCTGAGACCATCCGGAATCTTATGTCAACGCTGGAAATACCAAACCAGTCAAATTGTCTCATGAATCACATTGTCTCATTATCACTTTTTCGTAAGTGTCGTTTATAGTCTTAAAATCCTCGTGGCTGTAGGTGCAAATGAAGGCAATGGCTGTCCTACGTTCTTAGTGTTATATATAAGAAAATATAATATATTATTCTGAAAGTATGAAACCTTGATCGATCTCCCCAGGAATCAACTGATTAACAAAAACAATTGCTTCTGTCGTCCATCGCCGATTTCACAGTGAGCGTCAACGTGTTAACAAATACAAATATCCCTCTGTTATCGACTATCAAAGCCAAACATTGTTCTCCACTCACGAACTATACAGACTTCATTCTCTGCTGGAAAATCACTAACACTGACCCGATTCTCGCGAGTTTAATTACGAAGAACATCACGGGACAAAGTGTCGAATTCATTCATTCGCCCATGCGTACAACAAATTCTCAAAATCTTTGTGAACAGGCCATTGAAAGTTTCAAATTTAACACTAGAACTACTAAAGAGTCAAATTGACTTTTCCACATTTTTCTATGGAAACTCCAACAGTGCTACTATTGAGATTACTGTTCATTTACAATTCAGTTTGCCTATTTCCGAATCAATTTCTGCAGTACTTTCTCAGAAAATTGTCTATTCCCTTTTTAGTAATTGTTAAAGAAGCAACCAGGAATGGGTCGTTTTGACTTTTCTGGTAGTTCTAGTGTTAAAGTTCAATTTTCGAGCCATTTCGAATTTCCTAGGCTTCGCAGTGTTTGTATAGCAACAGACGGTTCGAGTCTTCGAGTTTAACCCCTTTGACTATAACATCTGAGACTTGTGAAGATTTTAAATGGAGTTTAACAAACTTAAATATTACTGGATGCTTGTGAATTCAAATTAAATATTATTCCTTTGCAAATATAATACTTTATGGTAAACATAGACATAGAACATACCTAGAATTTCCTCTTTTTCTCAATGAATTATCAATGACAGAGTACTGCCAATTGTTCAATTGTTTAATTCAACGGACAAGTAACCTAGAACCTCTACCAAGATCTATTAAACTTCGTAGTTTGCCATTTGCTAAACGTTGTATCGATCATGGCTGAGAGACAAATCATAGGGCAAGAGGTTAAAGACGTTGAAGACTATAGCTTTCGAAGCTCGAGGCTCAGAGCCAGGTGTTGGAAACAGTTATGATATCAGTTTCGGTTCTCCGTATCTTTCGGAACCGATACATATCTAACAGTTTCGAACAGCTATTTCCAGTACCATTTCAATCCCTACTCAGTGCTCATTTTATTAAGTAATATTCGCAATACCATTAACCACCAGAAAAAGTTCGTGCGGGTTCCAGAATCAAAATTCCAACCCAGAAAACGTTCTTGTGAAGCCATTGTATTTCATTTAATGCACTTAATACAAATCTCATTCGTTAACTCTTTGAATGCTGAAACACTCCCAGCAGAAACGTTCCGCGTGGACGGAGTATTTATTACTCACCTGAAGATCAACGAACCACGTTAATTTATACAATCAATTCAGTCGCAATTCAATTCTAATTGTAATCCCTCAGTCTCACCAAATCGAATGACGCTAAGAAACCCGTGTATGAATCCATATACTCATAATCATCACCACTACACGTGAGATATAAAACGATCGAGAAACGCATATAATCCACAATGACTTTCGCTGGACGTATATACGCGTCCATAGCACTCAAAGGGTTAAACCAGTGAAACGACTGCGATCGGACCTCTTAACGCGTTCCCTTAATATTTCCTTCGGTCCAATAGATCTTCCAAACAAGATATTAGAAAAATGAAACTGAGTCATTCAGTTCCCAAACATAATGTCGTTTATAATTTCTACTAACAATATCATTAATTTCATTTTCATTATGTAAAATATAGGACTACGAGCGTCAAAAATATATGACACCGGTAGCGAACGTGTCAACTCATCGCCAACAAGAAAGCCGCACGAACTTTTTCCGGCACCGAATACGTGAACTTACGGATTAGCTTCCATGGTGACAGTCTCGTCGATGGGAGCGAAAGTGGGCGGGTTCACGGGTTATCACATCACAGATAGAACACTGAAACGGGGCTGAAGTTCACCGCGTCTTTTTACATTGAGCGTCGCTCGACATCACGTGTATCTGCGTCGCGGGGCACGCGAATCGTTGGAACGGTGCTTTCGTCTCGGGAACCGTGCTCGCACTGAACCGAGCGTGTGCCAGCGGCTCGACGGCGTCTCTCCGTTACCTAACCGCCCCGTGACAAGAACCGAATCTCTCTGCTCACCTTCCCGTTCCTTCCTCTTTTCGGCGGTTCGCCGGCTGCCGGGAAAACCGGGAGGGAGAGACGGATCCGCGTCGTTTCCACGGGTTTCTTCGATTATGTAAAATTTCGCTGTTGGATAATCCAACGATTATGCGAGCGAAGATCGCTGGGACACGGTGATCGACGACCTGTTGAGAAATCGCTGGGTTTAGGAGAGTGGTCCGTGTAGGTGTCGTTTTAACCCTTGGCACTCCGGATGGTTTTGCAATCTATCGGCGACTTCGATTTTTATAATACCCCTAGCGAACATTAATAATGTTATAACGTTCCTTAGATCTTTTGTTTTCCTTAGTACAACAGATGTGTGGACAATCGAAGAATCTTATCCAGTTAACTGTGAAATTTAGTTGGAAGAACCTCTGGTTCTGCGCGCAATGAAATCGAAAAATGGAGCGTGTACTCTTTGAACGCGGTACGAATGCACGTAGAGTTTTAATGAAAGATCAAAGTGAAACAAAGAAGAATTACATGTTTGTGTGCAAAATAAAGAATTCATCTCTGAAAGAATTAGTATCATGTCGAGTAGTACGATGACGTGTATACTCGCCAAACACAGTTAACCGGTTAAGTTAGCTTTGTTTTGCTTGTGAAATTGATCACTGAAAAATCCTTTGTGTTATTAAGTTACGTTCGAGCGGAAGTTTCATTGATAAACTATATTTATGATATAGACTATAAACGTTTCGTGTTTCCTTCTACGTTTCTTAGGTTCGCATGAAAGTATGTTAGAAGTTCGGTACTTCTATATCGATACACGTTTCAGAAGTGAATAATTCATGCGCAGCGAAATCGTAACGCTGAAGTTTGAATATAACTACGGACATTTTGTCGTTCGTAAAGGGTTGACGCTGATTTCCCAGGTCTGGAACACAGAAATGCGATCGGACACGATTGGGCCAAGGAAATGCGCGCTCCTCGAGAAATATAGTACGGGTGACCTCGGCGAACGCCGCGTAAAATCGACACGGCTGTTCGATCTGCGGAATCTTCGTCGTTTCACACGATCGCAGAAAACTGCCTGAAAACGGTACCCATCGGCCGCGCATCCGCCTCGGTGTCCCTCTAACGCCTCTCGGATCCGCAATAGCGGATCGAGAAATGGGAAAGAGCAGGGCGAGCGTCGCGCGTGGGCTTTCGTAACGGCCGATACACAATGGAGTATGAAATCACGAGCGAATATGTTTCCCAATAGCATTGGAACCCGCTCGATCTAGCGAGCCATTGTCTCAGGGAACTCCCGCGCAACAGGATGGCAGCGTCTCGAAAAATTGCAACGCGAGCTCGTGCCACGTGAAACTGAAATGAGAGGTCGGGGAAAGAGACGAGACGAATGATCGTGAAAGCTCGAGTGCAACAGAATCAGTTGTGATAATAATTGCGATAACAATAGTTGGAATAATAGTAGTTGCAATGACAATGGTTGCAAAATAAAAAGTTCAATGGCAATAAGTACAATAGGAATAATTACGATAGTAATAGTTACGATTACAATAATTTCAATGGCAATAATTACAATAACAATAATTAGGAAATTGCAATGGCAATACTTGCAGTAACAATAATTAGGAAATTGCAATGGAAATGCTTGCAATAACAATAGTTATAATAACAATAATTACAATAGCAATGATTACAGTAACAATAATTAGAAAAATGGAATTATGATAGATAAAAAGCACTGCAGACTGGGTGTTTCATATATTTTTTCGTATTGTGTGCATTCTATGCGATGTTGTACTTTCAGATTTCCTGTAAATGCATAAAAGTCTCCAGTCTAGTGATTGACTTTTCCGTGAAGTACCTTTTAACTTTCTTCATCTCATTCGAGCAGGAGTATTGCGTTACACGGATTTTCCTGATTTTCTACATGCGTCAAAGCGGAAACGTGTCGTAGGAATGTAAGGTTGCAGAGGGATTGCTCATAGTTCACGCAATTGTCTAGCGTATCCGCTTCGCTCGTGACCGATGATTGAACGATTTCGTGAACTCCCTTGAAAATTCCCGGTTACGAAAGATTTTGCGCGCCGATCACTTTCGTCGGCAATGGTCCGACCTCCGAAAGGCCGCTGCGATCACGACCAGCTGCTGGGCACGCAGCATTGGACTCGAGTTGCATAATTTGAAAAGAATCCAGACAAGATTAGAATCTCTCAACCGTGAATCTCTAGCAACAATCGTGCCTGACACCTATAGAACCTTCGAAATTCCGTAAAGCATTGAGATTCCAGAATCTCATGAAATTCTATAATTCTTCTTCACCTTTTCTAGAGACAGATATAATCACTTAGCTCTATCAAAATTCGAACTTGCTCTATTACATCACCCACTTGACACGCAAGTTTCAAAAGAAATATTTCAAACTTACCCTCTTCGAATCAACGCTCGTTCACCTTTAAAAGTTGCAAGCAAGCCCAAATCATTAAACTTGAAAACAGCTAAATGCACGTTACCAACTATCCCCAAACTTACAATACGCAAACGAAGCATTCGAATTGTTTCTATATTTTCCAACGCGAATCTTATACAATCGGATTCTATATTACAATCCTCGGTTTAACAACCAGGACCAAAGGTTACAGCTCGATGCAGCTTGCAGGAGCTTCGTCTTACGTCATATGACGTTCCAAAGGTCCCGCTAGATGACAAGAGCTTCATGGAAAAACGAACGTAACATTACGTGGTGCCGTTTCCCCGAGATGCGGAGATAACGAGCGCGGTCGCGTGAGATCGGGCGCTCGCGCAACGGTGCCGAAAAGATGGCGGCTCCGCCGGAATCCGGAGCAATAGCGGTCCAGGTATCGCTGCGCATCGCGTATTCTCTAGGAATACGGAGACAGCGGAGAGATTACAACGGTTCTCGCACGCTGATGGCAGTGCCGAGTGCTCTGACTCTCGCGGCTGGCAGGAAGGTTTCGGGGAACCGTGCAATGCCCTTTGCCTGTAACGGTAAAAGGTGAACGGCACCTGGAAAAGGGCGGCCGTTTTGACATCGGGGGACGTAGATAGAATTCTGGACGATCGGTATAGGTTCTCTCGCTGTCTTTCACTCGTGGTCTCCCTTCCTCCTTCACTCGATACTTCAACTCCAGGGCGATGCACTCTTCCGCCTGCTCGACGATTTTCAGCTGTTACACAGGACGGGTCATCCGATGCTAACATCCCCGCCTGGCTAGGGTCCTCGTTCATCTATGCGCTCGAAGTTTCATTAACCCTCCGTAGGCCCATGTAACTTTGAAGTCACGTATCAGTACATTGGAATCTCGTCGATTTATTCCATTTTGCACTCAAAGTGGTGAGTAAAATTAAGTAATCAGTTAATTTAAACTTTCATACGCTCAAGCGTGAAAGTTTCGCGTCATTGTAGCTTGAAAGTTACAAAATATACTCGTTTGATGAAATTATTGGAACTATTCAATACATTGTTAACTCGTATTCATATGTGGATACTTATTAATTTTGCACTGCATAGATTTTGTTATAATCGCGAACAAAAAGTCGGCCCATAGAGGGTTAACACTGGAACTACTGAACAGTATTTCGAATGGAATTGACTTCCTCGAATCTCTGCATGGAACTGCAAGAATGTTTCCAAGAAGTTTCCACTGGAAATACTCTGTATTTTCTAATGAGCTGCAGATGACATTTTCTGAAGTTGACTTAACGAGAAATCACACGCACGTCAAGGAAGAAAGCTATTTTCTTTCAATATTTCACGTATTGATGCATTATACGAAGTTTAATATTAAACATCAAGCTTTACAATTTTGCTGTATTAATTGCTGATTGAAAGGAGCCTCTGGAGTGCAAAGAGTTAAAAAACATTGCTACATTTTGAAGAATTGCGAAGAAGAAAATCAGACATCGTTTTGACCCATGAGTTCCGGCGTTGAGCGAGTCAGAGCAAGTGAGCTGGTAACTGGCTTCTATTTTCGAATTCAAATGTTTGGTTCACCTATTTAAGATATTATTTAAAGGAACACCCTTCTATTCCTCTGAAATTCAAAGGTATTTGAACAAAATGAACGATCGCCATTAAACAGAAGAAGCCGAACGAACCGACGCTAACGAAAGGATGTCCAAAACGAAGGTTCTATGGTACCGAGCTCGTTTCTTCGAGATCAGTCATCGAAAGATGACTCAGTACTTTGATCTCCTCCCTCGAAGCACGAACTTGAACAGAATCACGTACGCTACCGCCGCGTCCTCGGGCTATCGAAACTCCTTTCCTTCGGGTTCACAGAAAATCGAGGATCTGCGTGAAGATTCGTCGTCTTCTGAACAACGCGCGACCCAAGGACGCCGATTTCTTTTTATCACCGGCCGAATGTCAACTTCTCCGAATTGAAATGACGCAGCGAAGCTTTCGTAAGTCTTGCGAAAGGAATCCGAGGTCCTCCGGCTGGTTGCAGCCGAGGATCTCGAACGGGAGCGACGGCGTTCGATTTCATGGACATTCCTCTGGATGAACGAGAACGAAAGTATGCCTCGTTGAATGGCCGGGGCCTAACGGGACGAGACGGGCGCGCGATCGACCTTCGTCGACGCATCGGAACCTTGAATTCGACTCGAGGCGGGCCTCCATCGAGCTCACGCCTCTTTGTTCCCCGCTCCTTTTTCTTGTCCGTCAACGCGTCCGCTGCCACGAAATACTTCAGTGTTTCGTGTGTCGCTTATACCTTTGTAGCGAAGATACGAGTGTGACCATTATTAACCCTTTGCACTCGGAAGCTCTCTCCTAGAAATATGCAACATTTTTCAGTGAGATATAAACGACATTCTTCGAAACTGACAAATGAGAAAACGTATATAAATCAAGAAACGAAGCTATTTTATTTCGATATTTTACATATCGATGCATTATACAGATCATAATGTTATATGTAAGATGATAGTTTCGCTATATGAAATCTAGTGGTG